ATAACGATTAGGTGACGACGGTGCACCTCCGTGTGCGTGGGGGGGCGTGCGGGGGAGCGGGGGAGCAGGAGGCAGGCACAAGGCAGCTTGGGACAGCTATTCTTAAATAAAGTTTACCAACGCGCAGATCTTGTCAGGTGCTGTGGGTGGGCAGCAAGGGAGACAGTTTTGGGTTGCCAGGCGCCTTTCGGAATCGGTCTGTTGGGAGCGTTACAAGGGGAGAATGTTTTCTTTTGTGTCAGGGGAAGGAATCGAGGGCGATCGATCCCCGCGGTGCGGGGCGCCGGCTGGCCGCGGGGGGGGGGGGGCCGCAATTCCACCCCTAAACCACGTCCCTGGCTGGCCTCGTTTGCTCCTGTGCACGCCTCGGTTGCCTTTTGCGCAGATTGACCCCCCTTATCGTCCTAGCTCGTCTTTAATACTTTGAACAATCTCAGTATGGCCTCTGCTCGTCAATCTCGGCACGGGATTTTTCTGGCTCGACACCCCAGCCAAGCTAGCAGTTTTGCCCTCTGCATCTGCAGCTACTTCTGCGGTGCTGCAGGAGCCGAGGCGCAGCCCATGCGTGCGGCCTCGGGACCAAGGCAGCCCCCTCGCACGCCCCAGGTGCTCAGATTGCCTGCGAAGGAGAACGCTGGAGTACGTTATTACAAAGAGTTATTACGGATACTAGTTATGGTCCTTACACGAGGCAGTTTGCCTGTTACATTCTCTAACACTAAGTACGCACAGAGGAGCGGAGGACGGTCAGGAATCTGCTAAGAAAATATCCTTAGAAGTTACTACATTAAAAATTTTCTATTTTTGCTTCTTATGGAAAAGTTTCTTCTGGGAGAGGGAAGAGATGGTAGCTGGCAGTTTTGTTCCTAGCTTTGCATGCTGGCTGCATGATTGCCGTGCTACCACCGTGTTCATATGACAATCAAATTTTCACAAGAAAACATCATTAAATAAGGAGGGTACTAATATATCCGCTAAACAGCATAGGGCTGTGGGTCCTGTTCATAGCTGTATCATATTTACTTGAGCAAGTATGAACTTGGTAAAGTCATTTAAATCATTCGTGTTTCAGTTTTTCCATTTGTAAACTGGGGAACCATAGTTGTAGTGAATAATAAAAGTATTAATACCTGCCTGAAAAGAGTTGCAGACAGATATGTCTGCTGATTCTGATACGAGTTAGAAACCTGAAGCGAAAGCACTTACATCGTGCAAACTGTTGCTAACTGCCCTGAGATAGCATTGTAGCCGGCTTTTAGTGAAGAAGGATTTACTATTTAGTGTATTAAACTTTAAAATCGAGTGCACGGGAACTCACAGCTGGTCAGATCCTCATCTCCAATACAACATGGATCCCCGGTCTGTGAGGGATAGCACTCTGCATGCCAGAGAGGAATACTCTGGTTAACAGTGCATTTGCAGCTGTATATAGGTACACATACACTTCTACAGACCACACACAACAGAAGAGTGTAGTAGTAGTAAATATTTATACTGTGGCTGCCTCCAGAAGTCCTATCAGTAAATTGTCTCCCACATTCTTTCTCTAGTAAATTTCTTGCTATAAACTCTGACTTAATAGCCCCATAGGGAATGAAATTAGGATTCATTTATTTGAAAGGATCCTCCCAAATCCTTCATGTGAGTCCCTAGAAATCAGAAAGTTATAAATACTTGACTTTCTACTCTTCTTTTGGCAACACTGCAGCACTTTGTCTTGTTTTGCAGATACAACCCATGTAAAAAATCTTCATCTTAAATTAAACTGAGGCTTCAAGGCAATGGGCTTGAGTGGCCTCCTTGGTTTCACTGGAGGTGTAGTATCTATAGCCCCTGTGGCAGGGAGCCAGCTCTGGTGGTTACACACAGACAGTCGTACCTACTGGGATGGAACACTATGATGCTTTCTTTCCTATCTGGAAATGTCATGAGTTGTTGCTTAGAATACTAAACTGAGTATTTTTTATCTTTAAAAGAGCTTAGATTTTTATTATTAGCTTTGCTGTGCCTAAATCCTGAACATGAGTTGCAATGACAATTCAGGAACCAAATGGCACATAAAGTTTGAAGGGCTTTTCCTTGCCAGTGGTCTACCCTGAAACTGTAAAAGTCTTCTAATATTTGGGGACTTTGGATCTGGTCCAAAATTTGATTTGAAATACATGTATTTTCAGTCTTCATTTGAAATCCAGGTAATTACAAAGTCAGAGAAAAATAATATAAAGCCTCATTGTTGCAATATGTCAAAAAGACTGAGAAAATTAACAAATTTACTACCTTTAATTATTAATGCAGTGCTGTCAGCTTACTTTTTCAAAGAAAAAATAGTAACCTTTTATTTTAGTTAAAATATCATTCAGCAGTCTCCAAGGCCTCTCTTTGCTGGTACACTTCTCTTGCAAGACTGTATTTTAAAACAGAACTTCATCCACCATATTTTTTCCATTCATATACAAATTCTGTCTCAAACTGTAAGAGGTCTGCGGGATCTCATTTGTATAAGCTATCAGTTACTTACGGAATTGTTGGTGTTTGCCTTTTGTCAGACAATTAATGTGGGTAACCTAGATTTCAGAGTAGCACAGTGATTATAAACAGGTGTTTATTCATCCCTGCTGTAAAGTCTGTACTTTCAAATACCCTTACTAAGCGAGAAACAGGCTGTATTAGTCTACCTCTTGTATTGATTCTGTGTTTCTTTCTTTTTTGTTTTTGCTTATTGTCTCTCTCTGCAGGTAAAGAAGTGAGAAGTATCTCACTGAAATACTGAAAGAACCCTGTCTCACTGAATTTGCTCTTTTGGGACTTCAGGATGGAAGCTTTGTGTTTAAGAGTTTCCTTGCTGCTGCTGGTTCCAGGATTTGCCCTCAGTGGCAGCTCTGACAGATATGCTGCCAACCAGAGTGACTTGGGAAACTACCTTTCCACTTTCTCAGGGATCGAATCCAGCATACTCCTCACCACCAGGCAGCCCCCGGTGCCCAACCAAACTGTCAAATGCTCCCAGCAGACTAAGATCGCTGAAACTTTTAAATACATTAACACGGTGGTATCTTGTGCTATTTTCATCGTCGGAATGGTTGGGAATGCAACTCTGCTGAGGATCATTTACCAGAACAAGTGTATGAGGAATGGGCCGAATGCATTGATAGCCAGTCTGGCACTGGGAGACCTTATCTATATTGTCATTGATATTCCTATCATTGTGTACAAGGTAGGATGCAACCACAATACATTCTAATTGCAGTTTCCTTACAAGTACAATCTCTGTTCTCTATGGTCACTTCTTTGTCTAAGTAGTGCTCTTTTCTCAATGAATAGTCTACTTAAGAAAAAATACAGTTCCTTTTCTTGTTCTGCAACAAACCTGTTGCTTTCTGGTTGCCTCCATAAAGAAAAAGTGTATCTCCTTTTAAAGATGATGTAGCTCTTAGCTCTTAACCCAAGCATGGCCTTGGGCATTTCACAGGAACTCTTCATTTATTATAGCTACTATAGCTAGCAGAAGTATTTATGAGGGAAGCCTTTTTATAAACTGTTCTTCTTGATGGACATACAGCATTGGACTAGTTGCTATTTTTGGAATATCCCACCCTTTATGTTTTTACAGAAAATACCTTCTGTGATCTGCAAGCTTCATGTTATGACTTTGCAGAGAGAGATTATGTCAGTTAAGTTCAGTTTTAATGTTTTAATTTAATATTCATTAATAGCAGATTCTCAAAATTATTACAGAGTTAGTAAAATCAGTTATATCACAGAACATTTTTGAAATACTAAATTTCATCTGGATTTGTCAAAGTATAAAAAGGATCCTCAGCAGTTCCTTAATCTGGTATAAATTTACCCTGTCCCAGGTTGGTTTTTTTTTTTCCATTTTACTTAAGCAGTGCTTTTTCTGATGTGATGTATGTTTACGAATGTAACTTGCGTGATTCCAGGATAGGCCTGAATGAACAGAACTGACTCCTTTTTTAATATATCTCACTGATACTAACTTATCTTAGAAACTCATCAAAGAATTTTATAAGCTTCTATCTGTACCTTTGTGGTTCGTATACAGGTGCATAGCTGATAAGATATTATAATTTTTCTTTCTTTTCTCAGTAAAAACTTAAGGTGTTTCTGTTAGTAAATAAACCACTAAATAATAGAATGAAAGAAATCAATTTCTCACAATTTTGGCCCTTAAAGGTTCTAGAGGCTGAAGTTTCATTTCCATGTGTTTTAAACAAAACATTTTAATGCATAACTTTTAATAACTAGTGTCCTGTCATTTCAATTGGATTTTAAAATTAAAGAAACAGTGAATTGAAAAGACATATTTTGTGTCTACATGACTATTGACCCCATAACTATTGACCTGCATTATAGCGCAGGTATTTATAGGACAAGATCATAAAAATTTGAATTCATTAATGGATTAAAAATATGTATATGTGCATACACTGCATTTGTACAGAGGCATATTATATACAGTAAAATGCAGTACCGGATTCTGATCTTCCAGTAGTATAAATTACAGAGAAGTCTTAACTTTACCTGGTTTTAATAGAATATGAATTTCAAACTAGGATAAAGACTGTTAATAATAGTGCATGTGATTTAATGGAAGTTCTAGTTTCCACTTTTGAATATTCCACCTGGAAAATTAAATAATCAATTTGTTGATAAGATAGCAGATATCTGTAGAGTATTTTGGATTAACAAGTTGATGAGAAAGATTAGCCTCTGCCTGATCTGAGATTCACCTGTCTTCCATAGCTGTGTGGATGCCTAATGGGACATGGGATTGGGGCTCTGCATATCTTCATTATTCTTAGTGAACTGGACTCAGGCTGGACTGCATGTCCCATGATGCATTACAATTTCCTCCCTGATAAATTATCCTGATGTCTTTATGGATAATTACTTAAGGCAGTGTTCTTACTTCTCGTGGTATTTCTGTTAAGAAATTTTAAGGAAGAATGGCATAGGTTTTTTCAGAGATGAGTTTGGGAAAGAATGGGTATTTTTATTACACATTTTTTCTAACCTTTCAAGAGCTCTGCTGCTTCTTCACAAAGAGACAAAGAGGAATGGAAATCTGGAATTAATTTTGACTTTCAGAATTGCCTTTTGATGGTCCTCTGAAAATTCTTTAGAAGTTTAGTTAAAAGTAACAAACTATTTTTTACATTCCCTTTATTACTTTGCAATACATTTTTTCTATTAATTTTCTGACACTTCTTTGGCATTCGATAGGTTCACTTGCCTTGCTATATCTTGTATGATGAGCTGAACTGTGGTCCTGAATATTTCTGTACAAATGAAATTACCTTAGCCTATATGAAAATTTATTTCTGTACTGCAGAGAAGTGTTTGATAAATAAAGGCTGTGAATGAAACTGCAGCCCCTTGACATCAATGTATGTCAACTCCCACATATAAGAAGGCGGGATTAAAATTGCATTTACAAGCATAATTCTAGCTTTTAGTAACTTTTTGAGTGCTTGAACCTCCAAAATAAATGACTTAAAAATTACCATAAGGTAATTGTACAAGGTTAGCTGTATGTATTCTGACACAGGGGAGCTTTTATAGCGTTTGTAAGGGAGCTCTAGTACTTCTGATAAGAAATCCTATTATTATTTATAGTCCATTTTACATATAAACCGTTCAGTAATATGTCTGCTCACATTAGGAGTTGATTTTAAAGTCTGTTAAATGGCATTCCTATTTGTATGACTAGGGATGCTAAAATCTGTGGCACTATAAATAGCTCCTCTTGTTGAGTGACAGTATGAAGGGTGGCCACTGAAAATATCACTGTTTAAAAGTGGAAGTGAAAGTATTTTAAAGAAAAAAAATTGAAGTTGCTTTATCTTGGTTTTAAAATTTAAATTTTAAAGTATTTTATACACTTAGTTCTGAACTTTATTTTAAAGTTTCTTTTAGCTTGAGAGCCAGCCTCATGTTGAACCATGTATTAGTATCCTACATAAATATATGGTGTCAAGCACTTAATACCTTGCAGGTCAAATCTTCATTTTTAGGAGGACAAAACAGCTCTGAAATCAGAATTAGAGTAAACAAGCATTCATCTCCATATTAAAATAACCAATAGTACAGTATTAAGATGACCACATCGTATAGAACAAAGTATGTAACACTATGTAATTATAATGTAATATCAGAAATAGGTATTTTGAAACTACTTTTGAAAGAGAAGTAGGTAATATTACTGGTATTCAAATCCATTTTACAAATCCTTAGAAAGAAGCAGCTATGATTATAGTAACCGAAAATTTAAGGTCCCAGGAGAATTGAGACCATTGTTCTGTTATGCATTTACACAATTAATGAATATGTGATGGAAAAAAGAATAATTATGTAATTTATGTCAGTTAAAGATATGGTCACAGCTGTTTTACATTTTTATCCTTTCTTCACAGTACAGTAGGCTCAAAAATTCCTCCTTACTTTCTCCCATTACTGTAACTATATAGTGGATTCCCCTTAGCAATTTGTTAAATGGATTGAGATGTGAGTAATATTCACTAGCCTCCTTTGAAGATATTCTGGATGTATTAAAGCCCCATTACACTTAATTACCGCTAGTATATCCACTTGTACTATCAAATCAATATTAAAAATTGTAACCCATTGAGTTTTACAGGAAGGGTGCCAGTTATAAATCCAGTCTTAATAGGCTGAACTAAGACAATTCAATTTTCAATCATGTATTTATAGCACCCGGACCCAAATAGTTTACCCAAAACACACCCATCTCAGACATTCAAGATGTCAAAGCCTAAAGCCTCCAAATTAGTAAGAATGACTTCTTTGCAGTGAAAAGAGGATTGGGAAATACAACTTTTATGTTTTATGCTGCTGTAGAGGTAGGGTTAAGGCACTGAAGAAGATACAGGTTTCATACCTCCTCTTCTCGTATCAGGTGGCGTAGCATATAGCTGAAAGCTGCTGCATCACCTGCATTACCCATCACTGCCATGTGTATTTGTAGTAAATAAGCTATGTTTGGACACAATGCACAAAAACTTCTTTAGGGCACTGATTTCCATAAAGAAACTAGATAGTTTTCTAAGGCTACACATAGGCAGGAGCAGAATATCCATAGCACCACTATTGCCTTGGCTGCGCTAAAGCTCTGGAAAGCCCTTATGGCTGCTGCTGCTGTCACTAGCTGAAGTTTAGCAGAGCAACAGCAAGAACAACAGATGCTCTCCACAGAAGAAGCTGTCCATAGCTCTTTCCTGAGCTCATGGAGCTAGAAACACTCTAGGTCAAGGCTCTCACCTTTGGAATGGCAACATTCAGTTTTAACTGTGTTATTGGGAAGTCCTGAGCTGTCTCTGTTTCCCTTTTTATGCAATTTAGAGAAAAATGTTGAAATGAGTTCTATTTATCGAAAACTGACCTACATAGGATTGACATACATTATATTGCCTTACATCTTAATATGCTTAATTCCTTAAACCATTAGTTTATAAAGAAGTAGATTAAGCAAATTAGCCAGCCTTTAACCTGTTTCCTTAAATGTGAATAACAAAAATTTTCCTAATTATTTTACTGGTATAAAGTGAAAGGCATCTACCCAGAAAACAAGCAAGAGTGTCCACTGCTCAAACAGCTCAAGAAGATGATGCTTTCTTTAATAAACTAAGTTTTTTTGTTAGTAAATTGGTATTCATGCTTATCTTAGTTGAAACAGCATCGAAATCTGAGTAGTCCACCTAGAACATTATGAGCCTAAATATAAAAGGTAGCTGGCAGTAAGCAAACATCCTAGCCATTTTGTCTTCAGTAAAGGAAGACTTAGCTGAGGCATTTCTAGTCACGGATGTTTTTCAACATCAGAGCAAATGCGTAAGTGTTAGACCAATCCCTTCGTAATCACAAATTGTTCAGCATATCTGATTCCCTTTACTGACAGAATTAATATTATACATACACAGGGATGATAATTAAACACGTTGGGACTGATCCTGTAGGCTAATAGAGCAAGTGACATCCACAGTGGTTATAGTTTTGTGCCAAAGGAGTATAAGGCCAAGCCCACAGCACACATAAAGTTAAGTGTACTTAGAAAAGAAAACCCCCTTTAAAAGCAAAATTTGTCATATGTGCAGTGTGTATTTCTCTATGGAGTACCAACACCAGTAGGAAATTCTGAGGCCACCAGCTTAACTGCATTCTGGCTTTCACTGAATT